GTGTTTGTAAACTGCTTCCACGATATAGGAGAAAATCGTAGTGTGGGGGTAACATTATTAAAATAAAAAATAAAAAAATCTTAATAAATTACGCGCAGGCGTAGTCGCGAGGAACAGCTAGTTCTAAATAAGTCTGTAAGACTAATTACCGTTACGGCGCATCAGAATTTCAGAGCGGAATATTTTTAAATTGCTCTCTATGGGAGCGGGCAACAATTTTTAAAGACACCTACATCCAACTTCAAACAAAGAAGGTCACTTTTCCACCCCTGAAGACTAAAATGGAATGCCTCACAGCTAGTAATTATCGGTCGCGTCTTTTCCTGTACTCCTATTCTCTAGGCGTAGTCCCGAAATCATGGAAGACAGCTTTTGTCCACCCGATCCCTAAAAAAAGGCGACCGCTCAGACCCGTCCAACTACAGGCCTATCGCCATCACTTCGTTGTTCTCCAAAATGATGGAATCCATTATTAACTGCCAGCTCATGCGGTACCTTGAGGATCACCAGCTGATTATTGACCGCCAATACGGTTTTCGTCGGAGTCAATCAGCTGGTGATCTTCTGGTCTACCAAAGCCAAAACAATTGCTATTTTTAGAGCCTCACAATGTGGTCGTTTGTCATCTCATCGTTTATCACCGCCGCTCACTTAGCGGTTAGCCACCGTAGAGTCTATATCACCTGAGTATGCCTCGTGTAGAGGCGAAACACGTGTCGTATTGTCGTCAGTGGTGTGTCTTGCCTAGTGTAGTGGTGTTGGGAGTTGCGGTGCTGGGATTAGTGGTGACGGGCATAGTGCACGCAATTGAGGCAGGGCGGGAGGTTCTCTTCATACTAGGTAAGACACATCATTTTATATTATAACGCGGATATTTGCGAATTAATTTTTTTTTTAAAAAGCTTTTAAATTATTATTAGTTGAAGTCTTTGGATAATAAACAGACAGCCTTATTCGACTCTTAAAATTTATATTTATATATCGAAATAAAAAAGAAATATCACACAATGTTCAAGGTGTAATAAATATAATAAAAGCAACCTATCTCAAATTAATGTGAGCTGAAAATTTCATTTGATTTTAAGAAATAAAATAAAAAGTATACTCCCCTGACAGCCATTTGTCAGGGGCGGAGGATCTAAACAAATTTTGTTCATTTTATCTTCTTTGAATTTATGAAAATAATATATCATATTTGACATATAATATACAATAAAAAATAATTAAATTATTTTTATTCAAATTGAATTCCATAAATATAATTGTTAAAATACACTTACATACATGTACCACTCTTTCAGAATAACCGTGTCCTGGGAACCTGGGAAGAACTAGCAAGTAACATACTATAATAAAGCAAGATTAGATTGAAATAATTTTAATCCAACATAGATCACAAGTAATGTCAATTATTTATAAATATCATTTTAGAAATAGCATAGAAGCGAACAACTCATTCCCAGGGCAATTTTTCATTCTGTTCAATACATAAACGTCATACTAATTCTTTTCATACAGTATTTGTTTAATAGAAGTCTTATTACATGTTTATAAACAGATGGGTCCATGCTCTGGCTCTACCGTTCAAACTTCTCAAAGTTCACTGCTGAACATAGGCCTCCCCCATAGATTGCCTCATAGGGGGGGGATATTTGCTATAGTTGCCACGCTTGGCAAGCGGGTTGACAACCACAGATTTTTATTTTTTGTCGATATTAGGAAGACGCTGCTGCTCATCTCCTGATTTGTTTCCTCTGTCGCCTCTTGCGGCTCTCTTACGACAAACACGGGATGATCCATATCATCCCGTGTTTGTCGTAAGAGGCGATGTAGAGATACCCACTACCCTATGGTAGTGGGTATCTCTAGGGTAGTGGGTATCTCTACATCGCCATGAATTTTATGGCGATCTATTTGGTAGCCTGTAGTATATCGTAAGTCCTGCCATGAAATACTTTCATCTGTATTTAGTAAAAAAACTGTTACTTTGACATTATATTTATTTGTATATATAGATGTTAAAATTGAAAGAGATCGGGAGGTGCTCTTCAAACTACAGGTACAACAGACCCTTCATTTTACTTCAGTACGCGGATCATAGATAATTAATTTTTAATATCTTAACATTATGGATTTGAGCAAAGTAACGCCTTATTCTATTAATTAAACAAAATTTTAAATTCTTACATCAAAGAATAAAAGTATTTTATTCCATTTTGGTTAAGACTGTTGCTTGATTAAAATGAAATACAATTTTACTTAAGTTTCATTGTAGCCCGCTATTTGAGCTTTCATAATAAAGAAATAAATTCGGCATTCCTTTGTAAAAGCTGAAATATTAAAAATACTGAAACCTGACGGAACAATGTATGTAAAAATACAAAATATTAATCAAATTTTCACTTTTTAATCAAAGTTTTTTTATAGAATAAGGGCGACAATTGAGCACACAGTCCACCTGATGGTAAGTGGATGCTGTGAGCCATAGACAACTACATCTAGTCTCGATTAAGAACCAAAGCGCAAATGCTTTGTCACCCCTGAGGACTTGAGAACATTTATTCAGCTCCATTCGCGTTTTGCTGGATGATTTTGGTTACACTTATACAGTTCCACTTCTATTAGCCTCTGTTAGTATCTAAGATTGTAAAAGGCCATCATAGCCTGCTATCTCCGTTGAAAAGTTTTTAACTGCCGCGTACGGTGCTGTATGACTGAAAAGCGATTACATGCCCACGGTAAACTTCTTTGATTTAGTATTTTGCACTCAACATGGACAGATCCATGCGCGATATTGTTATCGTTACGTTTCTTTCAGAAGAATTAGAAAAACTGCAACGAAATGAACGCAAACCTAAATGGCAGGGGGTCGACAACCCACTTACAAGAACAGAAATTTGGTTAAAGAATACGTGACATTGATGCCCGAATTCAAAGAAAACAATATTAGATTTAAAGAACATTTTCAGATGAATATTCAAAAGTTTAACGACATTGCAGAGCTATTGCGACCAGGGTTACATAAATAACATACAAAATAATTTTTGTTTACACATTTTGCATTGATTGATACAGATGATTACGAAAGAAAAATTTCCTTTGTGTAATTTGTTTTTAATTTAAAAATCGCTATTTTATCAATTTCTTGCCTCATCATTCTCATTGAAACCGACCTTTCACCGGTGAATTTTTTATTTATTTTTTATTTTTATAGTATAAGGCAGTCCACCTGATGGTAAATGAATAATGTGGCCAATAGACATTAATATTCAATTAAGAATCAAAATGCAGATGCGTTGTCAACAGTTTGTTTACAATAAAAATGGTTTCAGTTTCTTTACACTCATGCTTAGATTATTTGATAATCTTAGCACTCATCATACGAAAGCAACATTAAGCCGCTATTTTAAGCTGGTATTCTGTGAGAGCATGTTCCCAGATCGAGCCGACTCATTCATACTATAACCACAATATAGCTGCAGCGTGGCACTAACACGTAGAAAAGTCCCCGATTTTAAAGAAAAACGACTTATAAATTACTGGGCTCCGATTTTCTGTACGGTACACATCACTTTTGCAAATATGTAAGCTTAGTTAAGAGCAGTATATTACTACGAGTACCTATTTTATTATTTTCACAAGCTTTTCGATACTATATAGTGCTTGACAAGCATTAACGTCATAATTTTACGGACGGTTAAACCATAGAATACTATACATCATAGTATTATGTGGGTTAAACGATATAATGCAATACGAATTATAGCGTTAACTTGTATTCCATACAATTACAGAGCAGTGTCATTCCTGTATAATTAATATAGGCGTATCATTAAGTGGATTAAATACCGTGTTTGTTAACACGTCACGCTAATTCAATGTCATATTTATAACTCTTTTGGAACATAAAAATTATTCCCATCATTTTCGGTATCAACTATTACGCAGTTAATTAGAAACTTCTAGAAAGTTCTACGATACGACGCGCTGTGATTGGTCGATTTTTCCTTATACAATAAAAGTTGCTTATCTTAACTATTATCGGAACGACATTTTATACAAATATATTAGACTTAAAAACATGTTGTAAAACTATATTAATACATTATTCACTCGATTTTGTAAGTAATTTTACTTTTAATATTGTCTTTAATCACTTCGATTTTAAACACTATTTGGCCGTCGCGAACAAAAATTAAAATGCAGATTCGTTGCCACCCCTGAGTACTTAGATGGAATGCCACGTTTCCAGTTAAAAGGGTTTTAAATGTGCGCAAAATTTTATCTCAATCCATTTAACCGTGTAAGTGTAAATGACAACGTTTAAATCTCTTAAAAAATTTAATTCATATTAAAACTTTCACCATGCGAAATTAAATTTGGACCTAATTTTGACCAAAAAACTCAAAACGCATGAGAAATAGTTTATCTTTATTGAATGTGTACTAGCTTTTCCAGCCGTTTTGCTTGCGTATACTTCAGTTCATTTATACTGTCAGTTTTGCCAAGTCAATAGCAGCGTTCCGTGCCAAAATTAGCAAAACCTAGCTGTTGTGAAATCATCTCGGTTTCTATTTATCTATCGCAGACGTTTTCTCAGAGCAATTTTTTACCCAAATACTATAAAAAAGTGAGGTTAACAATTCGAGTTCTCGCCTAAAAGTGTTAGTTTTGAGAGCTAAATTAGGAAGATAATATGTAAATGATAGAATATGGCTGTTTATATAATTTTAGAAAGTTCCTAGTTTAAAAAAAATAATAATTCATGAATAAAATAGATTGTCGTTAAAAATATTTGCTCTAGTCGTTGTTGAGGCAGAAAAAAAACGCCTTCCGAATGTCCTCCTAAGTACTATACATACAATTTGAATATAGACTTAAAAAACTTAAATATCTTAAAATTATACTTACTTACACTACACATACATAGACAAATTGCTTTGCATGTCCCTCAGTTCTAACACGAATCAACAAATTATACTTATTATCACAGTTAAGAATCAATGGAAGGCGTAGAACAGTAACAGGAATGTACATACAGCAACAACTAGACCAAGGATAAGGGAGTCGCGTCGTTTTCTGGAGTTTATTCTGTAGATAAGACTATTCAGCATTGGGAACCTGTTAGCAATGTCGTTAAACCTAGTCTGCATCCGTTTGAATGTTTGACGCTGTGAGGAGAGATGCTCCCGCGCCTCCATCGCAATGCTTATCTGTTCGTCCACCAGCATATGTGAGCTGTGCAAATGATTAGCTTCCTTGGCATATTGGTCTCGTCTGCTGAGGCCAGCCGCCGCAGCCGGGGGAGGACTGCCGCCATGTAGTAACTCCTCGCGCTCCCGTCGAGCACTAACTCGCGCTGAAGTTTTTGAGATCTCTTGTTGATAGTCCATTAATATTTCTCTGTGTCTCTAGGTGTGCATTGATGCGACTCCATTTGGTGCTAAATCCGCCATTTTGTCGTTAATAGCTGACAACTTATTAAGCAGTTGTTGGAGCTCCATAGACATGGTATCAAACATGTCATCACTGTTTATAAGTGGTACAGTCTCAGATGAAAGACTCGATGAACCAGAAGTAACACCTAATTTACTAAATGCTACTAATTTCATATCAATATTATTCTCTAGATGTCGTGCCTGCTTTCTTGAATCTTCCCAGGATGATGATGTTGCCCCACTCATTTTGCTAAATTAGGTTGATGAACCAGCTCGCTACAACTTAAATAAGATAATAATAATTATTTCACTTGAAATTAGATTAACAAATTAATAACCTATATATATTGATAGCTTGATGAAGTAAAATGTTTAATAGCCTCGTGTAAAAGAAGCAAGTAACGTTCTACTGCTGTGAACAAGCCATCTTTCCTTACTGATAGCACGTGATAAATCAACACTTGGACTGCTCCATGGCGCAGTGGCTTACCAATTGAGTTACGGCGTTGAGCGCCATGTGTTCTAACAATTTTATTTTAGCGGAAATCAAACTCGATTGGCTCGCGTAGGTACTATAAAATTTAATGCTGAGCTAAAAAAAATAAAAAAATCTAGCATCCTTGAGTCATAGACAGATCATAGACAAATCCGCGACAGCAACATCAGTATGCTGAAAATGCTTGAGAGCCGATTTGGATGACCGTTGCTTGTTGCATTGTTGTATTTATACTTATTTATAACTGTTGTATTTATACTTATTTATAACTGTTGTATTTATACTTATTTATAACTGTTGTATTTATACTTATTTATAACTGTCGTGTTATTTATTTATTCATTCATTTACTCTTTATTGTACACCAAAATACAAAATAACGAGTACAGTTAAATCTAATCTTCCAGACAACCTTAGCGTAGAGAACTGATGCAATCCATAGTTATAATAGAGGCGGGGCGTATAAAATAAAAATAAAAATATGAAAATACATATAAATAAAGATAAGTGAAGATTATGTATAATATTATATAACAGATTAAATGAAAAGAGTACGTAAAAGGAAAAGTAATTTATCTTATAGCGTTTTAAGTAATAGGATTTAACAAGACTTTTTTTTTATTGTATAAGGGTGACAAACGAGCACACAGTCCACCTGATGGTAAGTAGTTGCTGTGGCCCATAGACATCTACATCTATCTTCGATTACGAATCAAAATGCAGATGCGTTGTCACCCGTGAGGACTAAGATGGAATGCCTCATTTCCAGTAAAAAGGGTCTCCGGTTCTCTACACTCACCATACGAAACACAGTAGCGTTAAGCTGCTATTTTACGCTGGTATTCTGTGAGAGCGTGGTCCTTCCCCGGTCGAGCCGACCCATTCGTGCTACAACCATAATATAGCTGCAGCATGGCTCTACCACGTATATAACTTTTGAAAGAATGAAGAGATTATTATGTAGTTTTCATTTTTTTTATTAAGTAGTAACACGTCTTTTACTAACATAGAGCTAGTAGCTCAGGGGTTAAGTGCTCGCTGTAAATTTCACAATACGCAAGCAATCTTTCGATCCCTGCCGGCGCCAAATTATAATTTAAAGTGCTGATTTACCACATGCTTGGCAGTGAAGGAAAATATCGTGGGGAAACGTGCATTTCTGAGAAATAAAAAAAATTTCGAAGACATATGAAGTTCGCCATCACGCATTGAAGCAGCGCGGCGGACATTTCCTTGCCTTAAAACCCTCTCAGAAATGAGAGCAGGCCTGTCCCCAGCAGTGGGACGTATATAGGCTGTAACTTGTAATTTTTTTTACTAACATAGTCATAAGACTTTCGATGTCACAAACCTCTCATATATTATACATATATATTTTATAATATAGTACCTAATATATATTTATTTAAAAATATTATATTGCTGTTTTACCCATAGCTCTTACCACATTACCAAAGGTTAGCTAACAGGGATCAGAGAATACCGTTATTGGGTTGTGTTCGCCTTTGTACATAAATATTTCTTGTGCAATAAATATTTTCTATTTATTTATTATGATGATGATGATAAGGTTGATTTATCTATATCATACAATGTTCTTAAAGCCTACAGGGCTTAGACTAAGGTATAAATCGAGAGCATTCAGCGGGGCGTGGACGTAACAAGTTGTTAATTTCGGTGTTTCACCTCCGTGTCTTCATCTGTTTCGGAACTACGAGAGTGTGAGAACAGAGAAAGCACATGTGTTTGCGCACACAGTCGTGCACTGTATTCTGCTGTATTCTGTCCTACGTAGAAGGCGAGTCTCCGTTGAGACTGGCCGCCGTGAACAAAATTCGGTTCTTGAGACATTAAATTAGAATACCGAGGTTGCCTGCGCCCTTACAAAAAACAGTACATGAAGGAGTCGTCTTTAACAAAGGCTTCTACTACGTAAATTAAGAACAATTTTTCAATAATATTTTATATTTCGTCTTGAATTTTTAAAATTCATCAGGATAAACCATAATGATTTCTTATGTTTTATCCTGATGAATAAAACTACTTTTATGGATTCTATCACGTTTAATTATCTTGTTTTTTTTTTATTAATTCCCTACGTTTCGGGTACTTTACAGCACTAATGGTCACGGGGGGACTGAGGTGATTGATCTCCCAATGTCATAGTTAATTCGAAGTACCTTCAGCTTTTGCATGCCTTATGCGAAAGCACAAGGTATTGCATGCCTTAAGCGGAAGCGCAAGGTATGTTCTACTATCGCCTAAAAATTAAGATTCCAACGTTTTATCGAATAAAATCGTATCTAGCAATCATATTATACATACTCGTATAAATGATATAAAGAGCACATTGTTAGAAAGATAAATGATTGTTGAACTTATTAATATTTTTTTTAAATCGATTAATTGCTATTTTTAAATAAAAAAGGGGAAGGGCTTGTAAACACGATAACTTTTGAAAATATCAATTATTTAACTCAATCAATTTTTTAACCTCTTCGTCTATTATGTGGGAAGCCACTGAATGTGGCTGTGTAATTTTGTTTTGTTTAGCTATAATTAATTTTTTTTGGCTCCAAAATGGCGAAGTTTTCGTTGATTTGGTAGCCTTGTATGTAAATTATTTCTGTAAATAGGGAGCTACAGCCCCAGAGTAGTTTACTTACTCACTCAGTTCGCCATCAGTCGCCGTCGTGTGTGGACATTGTTTCGGTTGTTTGCAGCGGCTCAAAAAGATCGCTGTACAAATACACAATATTCGAATAACCAAATTTCTTAAATACTTGATTATAATAATAATAAGAGATTTTTTTTATTACAATAATTTAAAAGCACAGAATAAATAATAGTAGTACGTACTAAAAGTAAGTAGTGTTAATTTTTTGTCATGCGTGACATTTTCATGGTTTTCGAGGGTGTTGAAACCGATAGGGTTGTCGAAATGTAAATCCAAGATGGCGGCCGCAACAGGTATCAATTTTTTCATCATGGGTGTCATTTTCATGGTTTTCGAGTGTGCTGAAGCCGATAGTGCTGTCGAAATGTAAATCCAAGGTGGCGGCTGCAATAGGTATAATTTTTTATCATAGGTGTCATTTTCATGGTTTTCGAGGGTTCTGAAGGCGATAGTGCTGTCGAAATGTAAATCCAAGATGACGGCTGCAATAGGTATAAATTTTTTCATCATGGGTGTCATTTTCATGGTTTTCGAGGGTGTTGAAGCCGATAGTGCTGTCGAAATGTAAATCCAAGATTGCGGCTGCAATAGGTATCAATTTTTTCATCTTGGGTGTCATTTTCATGGTTTTCGAGGGTGTTGAATCCGATAGTGCTGTCGAAATGTAAATCCAAGATGGCGGCTGCAATAGGTATAAATTTTTTCATCGTGGGTGTCATTTTCATGGTTTTCGAGACAATTGAAGTCGATAGGGCTGTCGAAATGTAAATCCGAGAAGGCGACTGCAATAAATATCAATTTTTTCATCATGGGTGTCATTCCCATGGTTTTCGCGGGTGTTGAAGCCGATAGTGCTGTCGAAATGTAAATCCAAGGTGGTGGCTGCAATAGGTATCAATTTTTTCATCGTGGGTGTCATTTTCATGGGTTTCGAGGGTGTTGAAGCCGATAGTGCTGTCGAAATGTATTTAAACTACTTTAAAAAATTCCGTATAATCATGTTATACGTAAGTTTTTTAATGCGCTTAAGGCATGCACAATTGGATTTACCAATTTAGGTTTTTTAATTATTAATTTTAGTCCGATCTACGCAGAATGAACTTACTGTGTCTTGAAGTCTTACAGTGGTATGCTTGGGCTTAGTTTTAATTTTATTAATTACAGGATCCTAAGCAGGTACTACCAACTGCCATGAGAGGCTACCCAGCCTCCTTAGGACCGGTTAAAATAAAATTAATTGATTCGTATTGCTATTTGTGGGTTTTACATGTAAAATACAATGTTTGCACGGGTGATTTCTAGATCTCCACAACAACATCACCTACCAGGTCCAATTGAGTTTTTTAACCGTTCAGGGACCCACTTACATAAACCCAAAAAAATTATTAAAATCGGTCGAGCCACTTTCGAGTGTTTGCGAGACTAACGGATAGCAATTGATTTTTATATATAGACAACCGATCCTCTGCCTCCATCTCCAAACTAGCTAGCCTTTTAGACAAGTAGTCCTATGCTCATATTGCAACCAATTTCAAAAGCATCAATGTTCAACTACTGAATTAATTCAAACAAATTAAATTACCGATGCGCATAGATCAAACTGACAAATTAAACAAAACGATAAACGTAAGAGACAGCCCTATTTCTCTTTCCAAATAAATATCTTAGACAGTGCCAACAAAATGTGAAAATCAAAAGAGGAATGACTCTTATTCCTTTCGGCACAAATAGGGTTATCCAATTTCAATTTTCTTTTCAACAAAACACAATGATCAAACACCATCACAAAAACATACGCACAAGCATTCAAAGGGCACATCATTCAATTTCAATTTTCCTTTCAACAAAACAAACACAATGATCAAATACAATTACAGAAGCATATGTACAAGTATTCAAAGACCACACTAAATTCACCTTCTTAATCACAACCGCCACAAATATGAAAACATTTCGCGGAAAACCCAAAGCATTTTTATTTTTACTTTAAAGATATTTTAACTTAGTGCTCGACCAAAACCAAATCTAATAATCCCTAACAGCGCGATTGAACGCTCCTGGGGAGCCCTAGTC